TAAATAAATAAATAAAAATTTGACTTGTTTTTCTCCACCAATGTATGAATTCCATAGGTGACTATGATATTCAGTCTGTGGCATTCATGAAACTCACTCACCCCAGGGAAGTGCTTGGTATTGCCATAAAACACATAAAAATATATTTTATTTTCTTAGTTAGGACTAGAAATCCACTGGGTGTGTGCTTGCCTACACATGCACATGCAATGTGCATGGGAGGTGATGCTATTAACAAACTCAAATGGGAAAGCCTGTTGTATATCTGTCACCTTCATTCAAATAAATTTCCACTTTTTTGCTTTCTAAGCATTTTGATTTATGGCTTTGTTTTGAAACAAACAAACAGAAATTCTGTCTCTTCTTCATTCTCTGACTTCAAGTCATCTATGACTATGTGCACACCTTAACACACAGTAGCTTCTAAAGTATAAGCTATTATGATTATGATTATTGGTGCTGCTATGCTCTTGCCATGAACTACATATCCACGAAGTCTTTTTTCACATTTTAAGTGCTCACTCTGTCATATAAGTAACATTTTCTTAAAAAAAATTTAAATTGGAATTTCAAAGGATCATTTTCATAGGACAGTGGGAAGCATGGACACAGAATAATTATGTGGCAAGACACACCAATCAGCATGTAACAGACAGACTTATATGTTCAAATGGATAAGATATAACAAAAGTTCTGAAATTACAGAAGGAAAGTTCATAGAAATCCATTTTTGCACTGAGACCTCTGGAAGCAAGTAATTAAGATGATATTTGATTAAGTACTTCGGTTGAAAGGAAAACAAGTTGAACATGTGCCAGAAGTTGCATTAGGATCAAGGGTAGACATGGCACCTGAAAGACACCTACATCTTGACTCTAGCATGGTTTGCAGCTCCTTGTTCAGAAAACCTTAGTGAACGTAACTTAATTTCTGTTCCCAGTGGACTATTCGGGGAATATTCTATACTATAAAAGGTTTCATCTGTAGGCCAAAATATTTTCATGCTGTTGTTTTCTTGCCATAACTTTGCATATAATCAGAAAAAAAAACATGTTTTTCATTAACAGTTGAAGAAAAACACCATTAATATATATACTAAAACCAAAAATGAGTTTGGAGTTTGTAAGTTACTCTCATGATTGTATGGTTGAGAAGTTACTGCATGTCAAACTCAGAAATGTTTCTTATACAAACTGTGAAGCTGAAATAATTAAAATCTTGAATATTAAGATTCACAATGATAAGATCAGAGTATGTAACTGACATGCTTTTAGAATAGAAAATTTAATATTTTTCTCCAACCTACCATGATGATCGATATAAAATATCCAGGCAATTTCATCAAATCCTAATAGTGTAGTCTGCAAATCCAAATTTTCAGTGTGTCTTCTATCATATAGTACAGGATAAAGAAACAGAAGAAAATCTCATGGGCTGGCAGAATAAATAAAAAGTTGTAAGGTAGCAGATCAGCTTTACATCACACTCTCTGGGAATTTAACCAATAACCTGCATTGCAAAAAGAACAATGAAAACAACAATGCATCAAGACAAAACAATGCATCAAAACAAAAACAGCAGCATCAAGAGAGCAAGTCCATCTCTTCTGTCCCTATACTCTGAAATACTGCTACCACAAGGTTCCTCACGCTGGAGAAAAAATATTTTGATAATCACTAGTTCCACACTTGTAGGATCATATGCTATAAAAGAACTTAGACTTCCTAAGACCTCCTACTCCAAAGGATTATTTCCTTCTTAGGCCTTCTACTTTACTGAATAGTTTTTCATATATTAAAATTTTACTCTCTGATTTCTGCATAATTTTGAAATGTAAAGATAAATAAGTCATTCTAGGACTTAGCTGGCATTCTACTAGTCAACAGGAAAACGTAAATATAAACCTCACACTTTAAAACGTGACTAAGTAGAAAAGTAGGATATATATAGTCTATTTTTTGAACGCATCTTACAAGTCACAGACTGACTTCAAACTCTCTATGCAGGCAAGGAAAAAGGTGAATTTCTGTTCTTCCTGGCTCTTGGAATTAAAGACATGTAACTCCATTGGTATGCATCACCACTCCCAGTTTTATGTGGTGCTGGGGATCAAACTCCGGGCTTTACACATGGTAGGCAAGTACTCTATCACTTGAGAGTTACATTCTTAGTCCCCAGTATTTTTTAAATAAGTCAATTTTTTCAATTAGCATGCAAGGTATTAGAAAGCATCATGGCATTTTCAACAAACAAAGTGTATTTTAGTAGATTCTCCTTTCCCCTATTTCCCCCATGCCCTACCCTAACCCTCCCCTACAGTCTTCCCAGCATCGCTTTTCCACTTTCACATTCCATGTGTCCTTCCTGCCCATCTCTCATTCCTCAATATTTTAAATACACAAGGGCTGGATCATTCATTCAGTGAGTAACATCTACTAAGCAGGGCAAAGTTTGCCTCCAGAATAGTTTCTCCCCTTCCAAGGGCCTTATAGTTCATAGGTATTCAATACCTGCTTATTGTCTGAAAAAAGTGTTTTAGATTCATACTAGTAACTGATTTTTCTCTTTTACTATAACTGGAGTATTTTTCTTGACAAATTTCTATTGTATAGATGTCACACTGAGAAAGTGAAATTATGTACTTAATGCCATTATCTTAGTATCAAAATAGAACAAAAATCTCCAGCTCCATAATTTTAGAATGTCTAAAGTTCCCAGCCAGGTATTAGACACCCACCATCACCTCCACTCCAGAACAGGTGGCCACACATGAAACCTGGCCTTCCAGACAGACTCCACATAAGCTCTAGCAATCACCAGTCAAGGCAGGGACTATGGTAAATGAGAATTCGTCCCCTTTGTCAAATCTCTCGTCCTTCCTTTATTATATACAGTGTGAACTGTGAATCCTCCTTGACTTGCTCCACATTTCCTTCTCTTTTAAAAAAGCATTTATCTAAAATACTACATAGTTTGTTCACTGTCCATTATCCATCACATTCTTGTTTGAATATTCAGTTCTGTGTGAGCAAGGACCTGTATTTTTTTCCCCAAGAGCCAAGTACCTGGGCAAATACTTCATGTCCAAGAAACATTTCAGTATCAATTAGTAATATTTCTAAGATAAGCTATTGAAATCTTTTTCCGTCAAGTCCCTCATTACTGTCATCATATCCTAATAGTGTGAGTGCCATCTGAGAGTGAAAAACTTCAAGGAGTCAAGGTTTGAAAGCTGGAGAAATGATGGTGCATGTACTGTGACCACCCCTTCTAATGATGGTGCATGTACTGTGACCACCCCTTCTAATGATGGTGTATGTACTGTGACCACCCCTTCTAATGATGGTGCATGTACTGTGACCACCCCTTCTAATGATGGTGCATGTACTGTGACCACCCCTTCTAATGGCTAAAAGTGGATACCAGAAAAAAACAGTGCTTTTTCTGGAAAGCTTGCAGAACTGATGGTCATAGAATTAAGGCTCTTTTGAGTGTACAATGTAGCACATGCACATATGCGTGCATGAGTGTATGTAGAGGCCAGACTCAACCTTGGTTGTCATTCCTTAGGAGCTGTCCATCTTGTTTCCTAAGATAGGGTCTCTCACTATGACCTGGGGCTAGCTAAGTAGGATATGCTGGCTGGCCAGTGAGCCCCAGGGCTCCTCCTTTCTCTGCCTCCCCAGTGCTGTCATTATAAGCATGTGCAACCATGCCTGACTTCTTATGTAGTTGCTGAAGATTGAACTTACATAATGCTTACATACTGAGTACTTTATGGGCTGAGCTAGTTCTCCAAATTCTCCTCTATTTGGTGTTCTTTCATTTTGTTGCTGTTTGAGACAGTATCTCATATAGCCTAGGCTGGCCTCAAATTTGCTGTGTAGCTGAAGTTAGTGAACTTTTGATCCTCCTGCCTTTACCTCCTGAGTGATTATATCATAGGCATGTGCTACCATACCCCATTTATGTGGCTCTGGGGATCAAAACCAGGGTTTTGTACATGCTAGGTAAGTACTCTACTGAGCTACATCCCCAGCCCCCATAGATTTAAGGTTCTTTCCACATCATATTCTAAAGTCTTAAGTCATTTCCCCAAAGAGCCTTATCCCATCGAACCTGAAACTTCCAGTCCTCCCTTGCTATCAGCTTGGAGCTGTAGCACCCTCTGCTAGGTAGTGGCAGGAAAGATTTCCACAGCACCCCTACCCCAGAGCCCATCTCCAGAATAGGATGGATAGACAATTAGCTAAAAATGGGATGGATATAAGTCTGCAATACATACCTGACCACAGAGAACAGGTTAATGTTGGTCTTATATAATGATAAGTGAAAAAAGTTGATCATGTTTCTTGATCCAGCCAGATATTCTTCCTGAAGTCAGGAATGTGGTCAGGTATTTCCTCTCATTCTTAACAAATCCAAGTAAGAGCAAAATCCACTGTAAGTTGCAATTACTCCCAAGTGGTGACTCATTCTCTTCTCCCACTCTATACATAATTCTACTTGTGTAAATCCAACTAATTAGGAAGGAAAATGAGAATAAAATAAAACAAAGCTAAAATAGATAAAATCATCACAACATTTGTGGCAATTATAGACATGCATTTTCTGGTACAATAAGATAATATTCATGAATGGTATTTCCATATTTTCTTATAAAATTCTCATACAGCTGCAGGTCACAGCTTAGGAACAAAGATCCTAAGGTTTAAGAGTGCCACTGAATCTCTAAACTTATAAGGAATCCACACCATCATACCCACATTTCCATGTTGCCTTCCGTGATGTATGACTCAGGGACTAAACACAATGCCCCCAATCAAAATTATAGAGAAGAGGAACAAAAGCCTCACTTTTCAGCCTGTTTTTCCCATAAGCAATGAGATGGTACTTACCTTAATGGCATTTTGTGAGGGAGAGAAGATAATTTATCTTTGAACTGTGCCTGGCACACAGTAGGAGCTGTATATATTTCTCTTTGTCAATGATGTGAGATGAAATAGCATATCAGAAAAGGTACCACAGATTAAGGATGTGCTTATCATTTCTAGGAACTAGGAAAAGAGGCATTAGAAAGTATAAACACTGAAAAGTATCCTTTGAGATTATTCTGTACCTTTTCTCTACTTCTGAATTATACTAAATTTGTATCTGAACTAAAGTAAAAAGAATGTTTACTGGGTAGGTGACACATAATCCAGTCATAAAAAAGATGTTTAACTTCATGTAAATTAGTAAATATGGATTCTGGATGACTCAGTTATGACCTGACAGAATTAGCTCATGCAGGGCTTTGCTCAGAATGACTGCCCAGGCCAGCAACAGTAAGGGGCTAACAGGAGGCCCACCCTGAAACAGCCTGAGTGTTCTTTTAGATTAATTTCAATAATTCTAATAATAACAAATGCCTTCATTTAATGCACACATTTAAAGTATGAGTATCAGCCTTTAGTCCCAGCACTCAGGAGGCAGAGACAGGTGGATCTCTGTGAGATCAAGGCCAGCCTGGTCTACATAGCGAGGCTACAGGAAGACCCTGTCTCAAAAAGACCAAAAAATAAAAAAATAAAATAAGTATCAAAGTTGGGCATGGTGACCCATGCCTTTGATCTCAGCACTTGGGAGGCAGAGACAGGCAGAGGTAGACAGATCTCTGTGAGATGGAGGTCAGCCTGGTCTACATAATGAGTTCCAGACCAACTGTGGCTACAGGGGAACCCTGTGTCAAAAAACAAAAAAACAAAACAATGTGGATAATAGCATCTGCAGGAGCTGGAGAGATAGCTCAACAGTTAAAAGCACTAGCTGCTCTTGCACAGGATCCAGGTTCAATCCCCAGCATCCACATGGTGGCTAACAACTGTCTGTCAACTCCAGTTCCAAGGAACTCCAATACTCTCTTCTGAACGCCACAGGCATTGCACAATAAGGGTACACTTACATACATGCAGGCAATACACTCATACACATAAAATATTTTAAGAAAGCCTCTGCAAATATGCCTATGCACAAATATAAATTTAGTATAATTAACATAAATTTGAGGAAGGACTTTATATCAGACAGATATATGGTTTAACCAGCTTATACTTTAAATAACTAACAAAAACTTGGTATGGAGGGAAGATGGTAGATTAGCAACACCCACGACATTCCTGCATCATCTTCAGGAAAGAGACTGAAACAAAACGATAGGTAGATGGCTGGAGGAACAGGACTGGTGGTGTGGAAAGGCAAGAGTATACAATAGTAGACAGAAACCAGATGAAACACAGAAATGCTACACTTTAGATTTGTTAAAAAAACAAAAGCATAACTGACATCTGGTGACAGATTAGGTAGAGGAGAAGCCTCTTTGATAGGTCCTTAAACAAAAGAGAGAAAGAAACCTTGGCAAGTGCCACAGACACAGAATTTGGCACTCAGCAAAAATCTGGTAATCAGAAAAAAAAAATTCAGTTTAAGACTTGAGATGTGTAATCTGTGCAGAGAGTAGATACTAGAGATGGGGCCCCTGCAGTTCCTACTTTGTGAACAGGAACCAGGGTGGGGAACCATGAGGGTTTTTTTGCAATCAAATCTTACAGCTGGGACAGGAGGATCAGAGGCCCCTGCATTTTTATATCTCCAAGCCCCAATAGCCTTTGCACTCCACTGTAGTCAATCATATTGAGTCTTTACAGACAGGCCATTGAACCTGGCTGTGACTTGGCCTAGACACAGGTGTATGTGTTGGGAAGAGCAATGTTTGCTGCTGTGAGGTACATACAGTTAAGAAATGTGGCTAGACCTTTGGAAAAAGGCACAAATCCAGCTGTGTGTGGATAACAAGTAGGGGTGCAGCCAGAGACTTGCATAGATTGCACAGTGCTTTCCCACGTAGTGTCCCAGACGAATCTGATGGAAATACATACTCAGGTGCACAAAAGGCAGGGTACTCTGGTGAGAGGGAACATCCAATTGATGGTCCATGGTAAGAATAGCTTGGGGGCAGCTTATGCAGTCACTGCATTACTGGTCTGTGTAGAGATCACAGTCCACTGTTTTAGCTCATGAACTGGTAGGCAAAGCAGGGCAGGGCTCAATCTTCATGTAGCCCTTAGAAGTCTGACCTGTCTGGGCCTGAAAGATAAAATGACCCAGACTCCCATGACATTTAGTAAATTTCAATGATTAGTATGTGGGGGGAAAAAATATAGCTTTTATTGAGATTTGAAAGGAAAGCTTGAAGAGCTGGAGAGAGAGCTCAGTGGTTAAGAGCACTGGCTGTTCTTACAGAGGACCCAGGCTTGGTTCCCAGCACCTAACACGATGGCTAACAACTGTCTGTAACTCCAATTCTAGGGGATCCAACGCCCTCTTCTGGCGTCCATGGGCACTGCATGACACAGGTGCACTTACATGTAGGTAATTACATGCATACACATAAAACAAAAATAAAAGATATTTATAAAAAAAGAAAAGTCTGAAAGGCCAGGCAGTGGATATCAAGGTGAGAATCCCTGAAGGCAGCCCCTCTAACAGTGACTTACTTAACTGTGAGAGTAAAACAGCTGCAACTGAGATCCCTGAAATTGGGGATGCCAAGAATGTAGAACAGCTGCTAAGCAAGGCTGCAGCCAATGAGTGGAGCCAGCCCCCCAAAGAGGCCACAGGGCCTACAAATGACAATGATGAAGACCTCTGGGGTCTACATCTCACTACCACATTGTGCGCCAGGAACCAGTCATGGAGCTACAAGATTTAATGTTTGCCCTCTTGTTTTGGTCTAATCCTTTTCTATTCATCTATTTGTCCCTTTTGTAATGGGAATGTTTACTCTCTGCAACTCTATCATGGAAGAATGTAACGTTTTTGAATTTTATAGCGGCTCATAGGTAAAAGTCTGCTTTGGATTTTTTTAAGCAGTACTGGAACTGATAAGATTTGGAGCACTCTTGGAGACAGCTTAATCCATTTTACATTATAAGATGAACATTAATGTTTTGAGGGCCAGAGGTATAAAGGCATGGTTGGGATATGAAGTATCGCCCCAAAGGACTTATATATTGAAGAGCAGTGCTCAGAGGATCATGTGATCTGTTGTTATCAATAAACTAATCTATTATTGGATGGAAAACCATATTCTAAGGAAAAGAATAGAAAGTAGCTAAACTCATACCTGACAAAGCCACTTCAAGCCAAAATTCAAAGTGATAAAGGTCAATAAATACTAAGAAAGGTAACAATCCATTCAAGAAGATGTAATTATTGTAAATATATATGTACTGAACATTTGATGCACTCAATTTTATATAACAAACACTACTGAATATAAACAGACAGATAAACACAATTATATGGGTGACTTTAATAACCCACAAAATTAGCAAAGTACTGTCAGAGTTAAATTGCACTGTAGGCCAAATGGACTTAACAGACTTACATAAAATTCCATCTAGAGATATTCTTCTCAGCACCAAAAGAACTTTTTTTTCCCTAAAACAGATCATTATTTTAGGGGCAGGAGAGATGGTTCAGCAGTTAAGAACACTGGTTGCTCTTGTAGAGGACATGGTTCAGTTCCCAGCACCCACATGGTGGCTAACGATGGTCCTAACTCCAGTTCCTCTTCTGACTTCTGCAGGCATTGCACAACAGGGGTACACTTACATACATGCAGATAAAACACTAAAACACGAAATAAATAAAATATTTTTAAAAAATAAAAAAGGTTATTTTAGGCAGTAAGAACCCTTAACAAATACAAAAAATTAAAATAATTTCTTTTAACTTATCAGATCATAAATAAAACTAGAAATCAACAGCAAACTACAAATAATATACAAACACATGGAACCTGAACAATATGCTTTTGAACAATCAGCAGCTCACTGAAGAAATTAGGACAGAAATTTTAAAATGCTTAGAATCAAACGAAAATGAAAACATGTAGAATACAGTAAAGCCAGTTACAGAGATAAGTTTATAGCAATGTGTGGGTATATTAATAAATCATAGAAATATCAAATAAGCAACTTTATAATGCATGTCAAAGTCTTGAAAGGAACAAGAACAAGCCAAACCCAAAATTAGTAGAAAGAAATACTAGGAAAAGAAGAACACAAAGGATCATTGAAACAAACTGGTTCTTAGAAATGATAAATTAATCATTAGCCAGACTAACCAAAAGAAAATGAATACCCCATATTAACAAAATTTAGAGGTGAAAAAGGAGATATAGTAACAGATACCACTGAAACCCAGAAGATGTTTGGGTAATGTTTTGAAAACTTACTTTCCAATAAATTGGTGAATCTAGAAGAAAAGGATAGACTTCTAGACATGTGTATCCTACTGAAATTAAACCAAGAGGACATAAACAACCTAAACAGACCTATAGCAAGCAATGAAACCGAAACAGCAAAAAAAAAAAAGTCTCCGAACAGAGGAGTACCTCAGAAGCAGAATTCATTGCTGAATTCCACTAGATCTTTAAGGAAGAATTAATATTAGCACTCTTCAAACTATTCCATAAAAAAGAGTACTTCCTAACTCATTCTACCAGGACAGCTACTTTAACCCTCAAACTGGATAAAGGACACACAAAAGCTATAGAATAATTTCTTGATGAATATAGATGTAAAAATCTCAATAAAAAAACTGCAAACAAAATTCAACAATATATTAAAAAGATCATACACCATGATCAAGCTGGTTTAATTCCAGGAATGCAAGGATGATTCAACACGTGCACATCAATAGACTTACTGCAGCAGGTAAGTAGAATCAAGCACAAAAAAACCCCATGTGATTGCTTCAATAGATGCAGAAAAATTCTTTGACAAAATCCAACATTCCTTCATAATGAAAGACCTAAAGAAACTAGGAATTTAAAAATCATATGTGAGGCCCATATATATTCATCAGTCAAGATAATGAATACTGTTAAGATTCCACCATCAACTTCACTTTCCCTTATAAAAATAGCATCAAATACAATCAAGATTCTGAACTTGTCTGGAGCAAAAAAAAAATGCAGAACTGATTACCAGTCTTCCATCTTGTGGATTTACTTATTCATTTATTTGGTCTAGAATTTTTACTATACTTGTTGGGTAGCTTCAGTTGGCAGCTTGACACACCTAAGAGGGAACCTCAATTGAGACATTTCCTCCATCAGACTGGTGTGCAGTCATGTCTGTGAAGCATTTCTTAACTAGTAATTGATCTGGAAGGGCCCAGCTTATTGTTGGACCTGGTAGGTGGTTCTGCATTGTGTATGAAAGCAGGATAAACACAGGCTAGAGGAAGAGGCAGTAAGCAGAGTTCATTCATGGTCGTCTGTATTTCCTATCTGCCTCCTATGAGCTCCTGCTGACTTCCCTCGGTGACAGACTACCACTTGGGAGATTAAGATGAAATAAACCCTTTCCTCCCCAAGTTGTTTTTGGTCAAAGTGTTTTATCACAGCAATAGAAAGTCAACTAGGTGATGAATTAACATGATGAATTACTCCCTGCCCCTTTAGGACTTAGCATTTATCATGAAACTGCATGTATAAAGTCTCTTGTTAATTTGCACTATCAGTGATGCCTCTATGAAGGATAAACATATGTAGATGCTTCTCAGTGTATTATCCTCAAATTATCAATAGAGATGGATTGATCCTGCCACAGTGGGGTCAGCAGTGGTTAATATTATGCATGTGTGGTTTTGGGTTCCAAGTACTCCTATAGACTAATAAGATCCTGTTTTTCTTTGCTTAAAAGAAATTTTTACTAAACCCTGAAGTCAACAGTTTTGATAGTATCTCGGGGTAAAATAATAATTTGCTTCCTAATTTTCTCCTAATTTTACGGTTACAAATACTACAGATTAGCGCTTAGCGCAATTTTTTCTATAGTATCACTCATTGCTTTCATTCAGCTACTGTGTTAGATTCTTTAATGAATGGGGAAAGAATTTATTGAATTAACATGAGCAGATTTTTAAAGAATGTGCCTACCTTCTAACAAGTACTTTTTTGGGAGCTGAGGATTCACTTTCTGTTTCTATGCAAAACACAGAAAATGAAGCAATTCAGAACAAAAATGTGTCTTCTTAGTCCTTACGTCTAGGAGATTGAGTCAATATTTGATAAATCATTAAATGCAGGGTGAATAAAAAAAAACTAGAATAAAGGACAATAGCTGTCACGGGAAGAGTCCTTTGCATTTACTCCCTAGCCATGTGACCATATACATTTAAACACTCTGAATTTCATTTGCATCACTTACAAACAGTATTAGTGCTTACCTTGTAAAGCTGCTATCAAGATAAAATTAGATCAAGTGTGAAACACCTGACCTGTTGCAAGACACCGGCAAGGGTCTCTACAATTAGTACTGAACCCCTCTTTAAACATCAGGCAGAATCTCCCTGTATCCCCTGCTGGCCTGGAACTCACCAGGGTGCCCTCAATCTCACAGAGCTCCACCTGCCTCTACCTCCCCAGTGCTGGGATTAGAAGCATGGACCACCACGCCCAGCTAGAAACAGTAACTTTTAACAACTACTTCTAACTTTTAATAGCCTACATCTTACATGGTAGTAAATGCACAGCATGCCCTAAGGAAGTGTAGAAATGATACATAAATTATTCTTGATCTTGTGCATTAACTTATGACACATCAAATGGACAATCTTCAGAGATAAAAAGGTATTTTCAAAGTTATTTGCAAACACCTTTCAGAAGTCCTCCATTGAACAGGATTTCTTTTCCCCTATAAGGATACAGTTTTAATAGCCATTTATATTAAGATACAATAATGTGTGGTACATTACAAAAAATATTTTAAAACGTGTTGCCTCAATCATACTCCTTTCCTTTAATATATTAACATATTTTCAAATAATGCATGATGAAAAAATTCAAAACATGATCATTATAGCACATAGCGAACAATTTCTTATTTGCCTAATGTTCTTATTCAAGTTACAAATTAATGCTTAACACATTAAATTTTATTGATGAAAATACTACATTCATATATTCCTTTAAACCAGAGCTAAAACAGCCCTTAGGAAACAATTCCAGTAACATTGATAAACAATTTATGTATCATTTCTACACAGCACTGTCATCACACCATGTATAACCTTGACATCTGTGTATACACTAATGTTTAAGTTACAATCTTAATACCTAAAAATCATTGTTCCTGTCCATTAATTGATGAATGGATAAACAAAATATTATACACAGTCATGAAACGCAGTATTATACATCCAATAAGAAGGAATGGAGTAATGATACATGTTAAAATATGGATGTGTCTTGAAAGAGAGATGCTTGATGAAAGAATCTCTACACAAAAAGCCACAATATTAAATGATTCCATTTATATATAATGTCCAAAATAGCCAATTCCACAGAAAGTAGTTTCAAGGGGTTGAAGGAAGGGTAGAATTAAAAGTGGTTCCTAATACACTTGCCGTTTCTTTTGCAGATGAGAGAAATTTTCTCAAATTAGATAGTGGTGACAATGTAATAAAACAATATACTAAAGGCCACTGAATTATGAACTTTAAAATGGTGAATTTGGGGCCAAAGAGATAGCTCAGCAGTTAAGAACACTGGCTGCTCTTGGAGAGGACCGGGATTTGGTTCCCAGCATCTACACAGTGGCTAATAGCCATCCATAATTCCAGTTCCAGGGGATCTAACACCCTACTCTGACTTCCACAGGAATTGCATGACATGGGTGCACTTACAGACATGCAGGCAAAACATTCATACACATAAAATAAAAATAAATTTTAAAAAATTTAATGGTAAATTTATCTTAACACCATGGTCTTTGGACTTGGCAACAAGCACCTTAACTGGCCAAGCTATCTTGCAGGTCTGACAAGAGAATCTTTGATGATATATTTAAGGGCACTTTAAAGGATAACACTACTGTTGAGGTTAAGCATGTAAAAAACATCTTTCCCACAAACTGAAATTAAAAATTTTTTTCAGGTCAAAATTGTCAGTCAACACAATCATCCCAATATTGTCAGTTAACGGAGTTTACACACAAAGGCAGCCTTACCTACATCAATAAGGAATTCATTCTTGAAGGCAATTAACTCACCTTTCTGAGAAAGAAGAGCAATCTAAAACTCAGTTGATAACATTTTCACAGATGCTGTATCTGGACGGTGTGTCTCAAGAAAGAAAAAAAAAAAAACTGTACACACAGGATCTTGCTGCAAGAAACTGCCTAGAGGTAAAAATGTTCTGCAAACCAGTGACTTTGCAGTGTCTCAAAAGGATGATGGTATGTATTCATTTTCTGGCTTAAAGCAGATTACCATAAGATGAACAGTACCAAAAGCTCTTAATTAAGAGATATTGTTTTGAGAATGTCATACAGATCTCTGGCATCCTCTGCTGGGAAACCTTCAGCTCAGAGGTCTGTCCATATTCTTGGTTGAAAGTCTTCATTATCTGTGCTTGTCTGAGGACTTATGATGTTTCTTCTCTTCCTTTTCTCCGGAATTGTCCCATTTCTCTTTCTTTTCTATTTTTTCTTTATCATGCCCTGACTCTTTTTTGCCACTGGAGACTTTATCCATCTTTTCAGACTTAAATGAATCACTGCCTTTTTCTTTGCCTGAGGATTTTGACTTGTTTTTTTCCTTGTCTTTCTCATTTGGATAGAAAGACTCATTGGGACTTTCACTTTTATGTTTTGAAACCCCCATTGTTCCATTTTCTTCTTTTCGCCTTTTCACTAAGTCTAGTGTCACTTCACGGTCATTATTTGAATGATCTCTTTTCCGTTCCTTCCTGTCCTTTTCATCCTTTTTCTCTCTTTCCTTGGATCTTTCTCTTGACCTGTCCAAATCTTTCTTGTCCATTTCTCTCTCCTTACTCTTGCAGTGTGGTGGTAGAGTATGATTAATGCAGAGCTTTGCTGAAGACTCCTTAAGTTTCATGAGACTGTCCTTTATCATGGAGGAATGTGATGGAGAAGGATGGGAATCAACCTTGCGACGTTTTTGTTCCCTTTCAGGCTCTATAATATCTGCTCGGGGAACAGGTGACTTTGAGGACCCAGAAGCTGGTGCTTTTTCTCCTCCTTTAACATTTTCTTTTGACTTCATTTCCTTTGCCCAATCTTTATCTCTGGGTGGCTCTTTCTCCCTTTCCCTTTCTTGAGTCGATTTTGATTCTACATTGGGGACAATCCTGAATTTCTCATCTTTAGCCTTTTCTTCCTTCTTTTTATCCTTCTCTTTGTCAGACTTAGGTGTTCTTTCTTTGATATCTCTTGCTTTTTCATCTTTATTTGGCTGTTCTTCTTTTGATTTTTCTTTACTGTCTTTACCAAGTACTCTGGCCTCTGGGGTAGAGGCTGAGGTCTTTTCTTTCTTCTCTTTTTCTTTCTCTTTCCCTTTTTCTTTGTCATTTTCTTTAACAGCTCTGCTGTTAGAGCCACTATTTCCATTGCTTGAATTCCCTTTTGTTGTGGCACTAGAAGTTTTACTGACAGCTTTCACACCACACTGAGATTTTTCCCTTGATTTATCACCCTCCTCTGTACTGCTTTCATCTGATTTAGGTACACTTCCCATGGATGAAGAAGGCAGCCCACCACTAGGCCCATTTTGTACACTGGCAGTATTTCTTGAAGGAGGGTCTTTGTGATGAAATTCATTTTCAGGTATCATATATGGCTTTCTACTTTTCAACTGTCCAGAGTAGACCATCGCTAATGCATATAGGTCTGGCTTCTTTTCTTTCTCTTCTTGGCAGATTTTATGCACTCTTCTTTCCAAAGCCTGACCCAGATTTAAAACTTTGGGGTACCAAGGAAGTATTTTTGTTAGCACAATCAAGATATTCCTGATATGAGTATATTCACCTGTTTCAAGGCAATGTACTGATGCCTTGGTTAGTTTGTAATGCCACTTATGTACAACGTGCCGGAAATTTTCATAATCTAACTGATCAGCTTTATTTCCACCATCAAATCCAGTTGCTCGTAATATGGTCAGAAATCCTGGATAGTTTCCACATTCCTTCTCAAATGTGGATCTATCACTATGCCACCTAGTCACAGTCTCTAACATGCAGCACAAAAATCTCCCATATCGACTAGCTTCATTTTCAGTAAAGCTAGCGACCATGTAAATTATGTCAGAGAAAACTCGGTCATAGCAAAGAAGTGTGGAAAAATTTGGAGTCTTCTGTTGATGTACCAATTCAACAAAATGAGCACAATAAACAGAGTCAATTGCTGAAAAAATACATCGAGGAAATATACACAGCTGCAGAAATTTTGTGATGGTCTCATTTTTAGTAGATTTTGCTAAAAGCCAGTTGTCCTTTTCCAATTTCAGCCTCTGCAGAACTCTCTGTACATGTTCCATTTGCTTCTTTTCTTCTTCCAGGAGCTTATCCTGAAGGGCAATACAACGTTCTTTCTCTTTTTTCTTTTTATTTAGAGGCATTTCTTGATTATCATCAATTGCTTTCATCTGGATTTTAAGTTTATTGACTTCTCGTTCATAGCTGGTATGTGGAACTGCAAGGTCATACATAGTCAGTGACCAGAATGTGGTATAGAATTGAGGGCTGATATCTTCCCAGACTTTGGAAATGTGTAAAGAGACCACTGCTTCATGGACAGGAGCCATGACCATCTCACATGATGTAATATACTTATGAACTTTATGTTGCTGTTTACCACCCTTTTCTGATTTCTTAAGTTCATCATACTTTGATGAAATATGGTGTGCATACATCGGCCGAGACAGAAAAAATGCTGCATCATGGGGTGTATGAAATTGACTACAAAGCACATCAATTGAAGGTACTCTCTTTATGTAATCTTCTGTGCTTAGATTTGATGCTAAAAATCCACCAAACTGTACCAATGTATCATGACACTGGTCATAGAGCTTTCCTACAAGTTTCAAATGCTTCTGTCCACCTTCCTGAAAGATTACTCCATTCCTCTGCTGAGCCATAAGCAAACAAAGAGGAAGGGCAAGATCATGGTCCAGTAGTGCATCTTTTAATCTCTGAGAGGATTTTTTAGTATTTCTGATCTGACCAAAATATCCACCCTCAGCTTTTAGCTGCTCTCCACCAGTCATGGCCTCTAGCTGCTCCATTGTCATTTCCTCTGTAATTTCTATTCCTGCCATTTTTTGTACCACTTCTTTCAATATAAGAAGGTCAAAACTTTTGCCCGCCTTTAATTGATTGGCTACATACTGAAGAAGACCAGCAAGATCAATTGGGTATTTTCGAAACACTGCACCACAGAAACTAGCCAGACTCTGAAGCCAGTTTGAGATGGTTGTATCATCATGTTTCATTCTTTCCTTTTCTGGATTAGCTAAAGCTTCAATGATACAATAAGCCAAGACATCATAATTTAATGCAGTGAGATACTTCAATGAATCTACTACAGGTGTTATTAAGTTATCATACTTCTGTACTTGGGACAAGATATAATCAAACAAAATGGTGGGATTGCTGTGGCTCAACTTCCCAATTTGTCTTCCTGAAGGCTTTACATTTTCCTTAGTTAGACGCTTCATGATATATTTGGCTCTCTCTATTGTATGAGCTTTAACTTTTACTAAAAGTGGATGGTTGTTATAAGTTTCATTCTTCCATTGGCCATATAAACGATATCTGTGCTGATAGGGAAATGTTTTAAACATTCCCCACAGTTCCTCTGACATACAAGCATTGCAATCCATCAAAGAAAGAGAAGGAAGCAGTACCTGGTCAGTAATGCTAAGCAAACAACTAAGGATAACTTCCATTTTGTCTTTATTTTCTTGTTTTCCATCAGACTGAAACTCTTTCATAAATGCCTTGCCTATGCGCACGACTTTTGCAAACAAAATGGGATCATGAGAAAGGTGAGGACCAAGGTAACATAACATAATGAATACATCTCTCCTTAAATCTTCAAAGCTCTCTGCTTGCTTTGGTGCCTTCTTGTTTTGTAAAGCATCAACAGGTGCGCCTTTAGCGCCTTTAGGAACACCAACTCTTCGGTAAAGAGGCTCAATAGTTATGTGTATAAGCTTGCAAACAGCAAGGGCTATTATTTTATGTGAAGCCGCATAGTATGGAGGCATCCGATCCATAATGCTCTGTGCATGCTGCCAATCACCAATACTTAACAGGGCGTCCAGTAAACCAAGTTTTTGATTGTCAGGTGCCTTGTCTACTTTCTCATCTCTTTTCTTTTCTTTCTCTCGCTCATCACTTTTTTCAGAAGGCAATACAACCACTGTAAGTTTTCTAACAATTTGCTTAGCTTCCACAATTTCTCTTTTGTACTCATTCATAATGTAATTATCAGCTGGAAGAAGATGTACATAAAGATCATCTAAATCAATAAGGTTAAATTGCAGAAGTACTGCTGCAACTCTGTATAAAGATGATGGAGTCTCACCATTTAGTTCCTGGTAAAACTTGAATTTGAACCCAAGAATATGACACAATGTTTGTGGTTCACACATACTCATGTAAGTTTCTAATAAAGCTATAAAGAAGTCATGGTGTTCTGGCCTGCATTCAAACACTTCTAAAATGACATCCAAAACTCGATTGGGATCCAGATTAAAGCATCCAATTAAAGATTTCAGAATTTCTAAGATTAAATCACTAGTAATATTTCCAGATAAATCTTGCCCCAGTTCAGCAATCAGCTTGGCATACCCTTCATTTTCTTCTCTTAACAAATTGAATTTCTGTTGCTTATAGAAGAGTTTTGTCTTGATTTTAACTGACTTTTGATTGAACTGCTGTGACTGTTTGATAAGACCTAATGATTCCAATGTTTCTGGATCCAAGCGTTCTTTTAGAACTGTGTCTGAAACTAAATACAAACATGCTAATACTAATTGTGTAAAATAATCTCTCTTGTTTTTTTCTTCTAAACAATTTGTCTCAATATCTAACATGCAGAATATATCAGCAAGAATAAAAGGCATATCCTCACGAAATTCATTAATATCATTAAAAACATTCGATGCCTGTTCAGGCTTTAGATTTCCTTTAATGACATGGTAGGACAACTCATAGAGAGCTTGCTGGAAATTTCTATAAGCGAAACTGTCACAGCTTTTACTTTCACTGAGAATCCGGCAAAAACGCAAAAACTCTCCTCTTCCTGATTTCTCCCAGTTCTTTATCCACTCGGCAGGAACGACCACACTTGCAGCCGCCATCGCCATTGTCCCCTCCTTAGTAATAGAAGCCCGGAAGTGCAGCACTCACTCTTGGAGTTCACGGTGGAGAGCTCCACCCACGGGGAATGTTGGGAGTTGAGAGTTCCGAAGATGGGGTTTTAGAGTTAAGTTTTTTTCTGGTTCAGGCACTTGCACCAGGCAGTCTGGGAAGACTCAAGATGCTGTCCACTGTCCACGTATTATACTATACACTGGCGTTCATGCTGCAGGTCACTGGAACATAGAAAGAGCCAAGTGAGTTTCAAGAAGGTACCAGCACATGGGTTTCTTCACCCAGCTGCTCCAGGAGGGGCTGTTTCTGGTGAAAGTTATCTACCTAGGGTCCTCCCTCAGCCTTGCTTTTCTTTCCCCATCATTTTTCCACGGTATGCCCCTCTTCGGATTATTAAAAATAAAACAACAACAACAAAAAATTTATATTGGCTTATGTGAAACAAAGCTGACTCCCACAGGTTATTCAGGTTCATATACTGCCTCCTAGAGCAGACTCGTAGGCTGTTGAGGCTGGCGTGTTCAGAATTCAACGTAACTTGGTCTTTCCTCACACTAAGCCTGTGCTTACTTGCTGCTTGTTGCCCCTTACACTGATACCAACGACCCTTCCCTGGATTTAATACTCATTTCTCAGAGTCTTGCTTTTCCACCGGAAGCTGACCCTTAATCACCTCTTATCCCCCGAGACCCTTTGATCTTTGAAGGCTAAGGGAGAGAGGTCACGTTGCTCCCTCCTACATGTCATTCTCCACCATCAAGAGGCAATTTGGCAGTCTTCTAATGTTGACCACAGCTGCCAGGAGAATCGTTTTCCCCTATAGCTACACAGGGTTCCCACCATGCCATTTTTCCCTGATCCCCTGAAGCCTGGAAGTGGTAACCCTCCCTAAGTCTCTTTCCTCTCCTGCTGGTTGTCTTAATCCTGCAGCATTCCTATAAACAGTCCCTTCACTCCTCAAAAAGCTTTAGTTACTTTGGTTCATCATCTTTTTCCTTTGGGTGGGGGATGACAGACCCATTTGCGTCCCATCTGCTAATAAATCCTGTGTGGAAATCTCTAGCACAGGACACAAACACTCATTGATCATATTGAGTGAAGGAGGCAGAAGCAGCTTGAGATCAAAGTTTTATCAGTCATGCAACTTACTGCGTATATGAACCTGTCTATGTGAGCTTCAGTTTTCTATCAATTAATTACTCTATACAATTTTCTGGTACTTAAAAATAATTACAGTTTTGTTAGTACATTCACCATTCCCATTTCTGGGGTGGAAACTGGACAATGAAAATAACCAAGAGGTAATCTGTCTCTCCATAAGAAGAGCTTATAGCAACCCTGCAGCCTGCCCATCTCCCACAGAGGAATGTGATGAACATGTACCATCCCCTATGCAGAAGCTTTCTGTGGATCCAGAGTCAATAGAAGGGTTAAGATGACTTGGAGGAGTAAGACCTGAAGAATCCCCAATGGCAACTAAATGATAAAGACGATTACTTTCAATTAATGTGAAATTAAAAAGGATATATTACTTATTATAAACCTTTCTAGAAGGGTTTTCCTGTTAAAAATGGTTTTAAAAAATAATTTAAACATTTTCACTCCTAAATATGAAGTTATGTGCAAACACATATGCATTTTAGCCACTGATTTTAAAATATGTCTTTTTTATTTAGTTTTTTTACTTCATGTTATTTGCTGCACAATCCAGTCAGGTATAATTAGAAAAAAAATTAAGTTTTTCTAAGAAAGAGAAAATTTTAATGAACTAATATACAACTAGAATTTGACTATGTTTACAATCACGAAGTTTTCCTAAAATTGATCTGCTCATTTACAAGAA